GTTCAGAGGACTCCATCTACAAGTCATATGTTAATATGAATATTCAGGTTAATGCCCAGGCAGAATTTACCTTACTGCCCCTGCACTACTAAGAAAACTTCTCTTCTGAAATATATTGAGACACCTATGACCATAAATTCTAGCTTTAAAATGACACCTAATGATCCTGTCAAGAGATAGTAATAGCCACATTATTCTTCTTTTCAGGATATATATTTTAATTATGTCTCTTTTCCCTGTTTATTTTTTAAGGTTTCCACACCCGTTGTTTTTCTGTAAGTTATATGATTGCCCATTTGCCTTAAAGGTAACTTAAAGAAAACATTAAAAATAACTTTAAAGAAAACCCATGACATTGCCATGTCATTGGTTTGCATTTCAGTGCTCACTATTAACTGCTACCTAATACCCCCAGCCAAGGTTGGAGACCCTAAATCAAAGGGGGGACAATGGTGATTAAATCAAATCATCACCTACTTTCTGCTGATCAGAGTAGGTATCTCCCATATTTGCATTCAGTGAAATGCTCTTGATTATGAGTTAAGGTCTATCCAGGGGGCCACAACATCTGATATAGGAGAAACAGATTGTCAAATAACCTTAGAGGCAAATGCCCTGTGAAAAAACAAGAAGACACAACTATTATAAAAAGATTGATACAACAAGAGACAGAGAAACATTAGATAGAATGAGTTATTCCAAAACCCAGCAATTTCCTCCACCAGAAAGTACTAGAAAACAACCCAATAAAAATAGTCTCCATGGCAAGGGTGGTGAGGACAGAGTATCTTTTGGGGAATGCAAATCTGGTTTTTTTTTTATGGTGGGGTTACCAGAGATTAAGCCAAGGGGCAACTCACCACTAAGCAACATCCCTGACCATTTTTTATATTTTATTCAAAGACAGTGTCTTCCTGGGTTGCTTAGGGCCTTGCTAGTTTTCTGAGACTGGCTTTTTACTTGCAATCCTCATGCCTCAGTCTCCCCAGCCACTGGGACTAAAGGAGTGGTACTTTCCAGTGACCTCTCCTGCCACATATAGGGCAAGAAGTCTTTGGGAGCTTGCCCTTAATTGTGTGGTCTTTCTTCTACTGCCCTCACTTTCTGTAATGATGATAGACACCTAGGCTTAAGGGTCCTGTGGGGGAGAAAAGAGGGTGGCCATGAAGAGCTATAGTCCATACTTGTATTGGTCTGTGTTCCTCTTCTCTCCTTTTTTAGGTCCATTATTTTCCTCCTGGTTTGATCATAAAAGACCTAGGTGACTACATTTAAGGGAAGTCCCAGGGCCTGATACCAATTTTGTAATTTCTAATATCTGGAGCAAGTTGAAGAATGAATTACCCATTTGCCTTAAAGGTAACTTAAAGAAAATCTTATCTTTTAAAATATGTTGCCTTTCAAGAGATGTAGGCTCTAAGTGTGCATATTTTACTAAGCTTTCCTTTAATCTGTCTACAAAAGCCCTGTGATTTTACTCCAGTGAAATCAGTTTTCCCTGTGTCACCTTCCAAGTGATTCATCATAATTCCAATGAGGATGCTCAGGTTGAACAGCAGAAGGGCCCACAGGGTATAAAGTGTTCATAAGATGTCAATCATCCTCCACACCTTAGCAACTATTGTTCCCTGATGTCTCTGTTTGTTAGAGTTTGACTCTAAATTACTGTTATATGTCTCCAGATTACCTTAACATCCTGGGTTAAATGTTGGAATCCCACTATATATTTATCAGGGTCATCAGTAAGCCTTTTTAAATCCTGTTGGGTTTGCATTAGATCTTGCATAGAAAAAGTACCTGCACTTTAATCAGTCAAGATTCTCCATGTTTCTCTTGTGATAGGTGTAACCTGGCAGTGGGCTGAGTAGAGACAGACTCATAATGAGGGAAACCAGGGTTGCAGGAAATAGGAGCAGGTAATGGTGGGTACAGAGGAGAGTGGGAGAATTCTATTTTGACAGATTAGAGTGGTAAGTACATTGTTGAGAGGAAGGGAGTTTTGGTTTGCGGATACTCTAGGCCAGTGATGGTTTGACTCATCATTGCTAGAAAGGCCTCATCAGTGCTCCATATAGCACATAATTTTTTGAATCCCTTAGTAAAAAGAAAGCCTTATTTAGGGGACTTCTAACCATTGTCCTTGCTTTGTACAACATGAATTTAATGGCAAAAGAGTATTGTAGTTTAGACTTCCTGACGATAAGTCTGTCAATACCTCCAGGAGTCCCTAGCATTACTGAATCAGGCAAGAGAAATGAAGAACTGAATGTGTCCCTCTCATACATTCCATGTTAAACCCAGAACCAAGAGGCATCCCTGTGTGGTTCCATAGAATGCCTTTCCAAATTCATCAACTCGTGCCTCATTTGATGAACTCTGTTGCTCAAGCCTGTAGTCTTATTGAATGTTTAATAACCTTATGCCAGCCAGTTCATATAACTTGGCAAGTGATTCTTAATCCATTTGCAGATAATTTTAAGAGTAGGATGGGCATGATTTTTAAAAGTAGGGTAGGGAAAGCAGGGGGTTTTGTGTCACTCTGTTAGAAGCACAGATAGTCCAAAAATAACAAAAGGATAAGTGACATAGAAAAGAGCTTTCCTTAGGAATAATAAATATGAGGGGAGATAGGGTCCATTCAGTCACTGTAGAGTAAGAACCATAATTACCATTCTGGTGAAGAAAAGATACCAACTGAGAAAAGGTTTCGTAGTTGTGAGGGATCTTCAACTCGTGCTCTATGAGATGATTTGTAAGTAGGTAAAGATGGTGAACTCATTGCCCTCCAGATTCTGAAAGCAGCCTCTAAAAAATGGTGGTATGATGCTCATTGCTAAAGAGAGTCACGGGGACACCATAAGGCAATGGCCATAACAGTGGCGCCTCATTGCCTCTCAATGGCCTTGCTCAAAAGGATGACACAAAAGCAAGAGACAGTGTACATCAACATATCATCAGTAAAAACAAAAGGTGTCACTGCAGTTATTAACAGGAAAAAAAGAGGAACAGTGAGAACATAAAAGACATCAGGTATGAGTGTGACATATGGAAGAGGTTTCAGCAGAGTAAAGTGTAGACAGAGAAATCCAAAGCAAACTGCAAGTTATCAGGGGCTAAGTTAGACATCATTTCAACCAAAGTTGGGAGAGGAACAAGGTGAGGTTCAAATGCCTTCCTGTAGATGGCTGTCAATCTGAGTTAAGGCACCTGGTTAGATGTCACTGCAGAGTGGGAAGTTGAAGCTCCAAACTTCACTTCTTGTGTTCCAGACACCAAAGGCAATGCAAGATAACTTTTTCTTAAAGTAATGTAAGGCTTAAATGAAGAGCATTCTCAAGAGAGTGGGTCAGCTGCCCGCAGTGAAAAAGGAAGGAAAAAGTGCTGTCTCCAAATTCACTGGTATTGTATGGTTCCCTGAGAACTGGGTCCACCTTCTCCACTCTTTGCCAATCATGTGTTGAACTCCTTCATGTCAGGGGGTAGAGGTTTTGACCTTAGTTGGTCCCCTCCAGAACTGTCAGAATGGCCATCATATTAAGTGGGAGGGGGATTCATTTACAAGTAAATACTATGTTAGTGTGATATTGGGGTCAATGACCAGACAGAAACTTTTTCTCCCGAAATTCTAAGAAAATTTCTCTACTGAAATTTATTGAGACTCCTATGGCCATAAATTCTAGCTTCACAGTGACCCCAACTGAACCTTCCAAGAGTTAGTAATAGCCCCATTAATCTTTCTTGGTGTATTTCTTAATTGACTCCCTTTGTTCTGATTATTCACATATCTGTTGTATTTCCTGCATTATCTGTTTACCCACTTGCCTTAAAAGTAATTTTAAGAAAACTTTAAGAGCAACATAAAGAAAACCCATTACATTTCCTGTTATTGGTTTGCATTTCAGTGCTAACTACTGTGATCTAACATGTCTCACCACCTGAGAGAAGTGACAATGGCCTTCTTTGGTTTGGCAGGTAGAGGTCAGAGGAGGGTCCCTTTGCCTTGGAGCTGGCAGGTTGCATGGCAGATGAACAAAATCACCCTGCCTTCCACAAAGACCATGAAGGAGAGCATAGAGAGGGTGGGGGGTCAGTCACAGAGCTACCTTTGGCAGGATGTCCCTCCTCACACTGTACAGCAGCCAGGCTTCCTTAAACTTAATGAAGCTCCTCACTGATCTTCAACAGCTCCATGGGCAGATTGGACACAAGTCCTCACAGAGAAGAAATTAAAGCAGAGCACAGCTGTGCAAGGTGCCCCAAGATAAGCACTAAGGGGGCTGGAATTCAGGTCCCACCACCCTCAGTCAGGGCTCCTATCTACTGGGTGGCAAAGAGTCAGGCACACGTGGGCACTTGCTTGGGCAGAAACCAAGTGGTGGCTTCACCAGACTGTGGTTCTGATGGAGTTGGTGTCTGGTGCAATACTTTTAATTCAACTGTTACCTCTGCTTATAATCAATAAAATTTTCCCTTTTTGACAATATTATGCGACAAAATTCTGATGTCTATTTCAGATTTAAAAAGTGTAATGATGTTATCAAATATTATTACTGTATAACATTTAAAACAACACAAAATGCAAGCATGGCTTTCAGATTTCTCACAAAACATATTTTCCCCCAGATTAAAATTTTTTATTCATTTCATTTGTATATCTTTATGGGTAAATCATGGCAATTCAATATAGGTGTACAAGTTTTATCATGTAAATTTGATGTTACTTCCAGGAAGTCCCTGTAGTGTAACCCGCCTTTAGTTTTTTTTTTTTTTTTTTTTTTTTTTGTGATGAATGACTTTTCATAGAATTCATACTGTGACACAGTCTGAGAGACTGTCTCTGTGTGCCCTTCAAGAATGGGGACATTCTAGCATTTCAAGCAGGCATTGATTTAGGATAGATAAGGCTGGACACCTGAGGAATTTGGAGGAAACAGATTTATTTAAGCTGCAGCAATCCAGAAGGGCTAAAGCCAAACAATCTCTGGACCTCAGGTCTGGAAATTCTCAGAGAATTCAGTTGGTGGTTGTACAATACAATGGTTAACATAACAGTTACATTTTGTTCCACGTTCTTTGGTTGGAAAGAGGTTTCAAATTTTTTTACTATGGAAACAGATCTTTTGCACATCAACACACATGATTGGAGACCTTTTTTTTTAAATTGTAGATGAGAATAATACATGTAATTTTTTTCTGTTTTTTGGTGGTGCCAAGAATCAAACCTCAGGTCTCACATATGCTAGGCAAGTGCTCTGTCACTGACCACAACCCCAGCCCTGCAGGCCTTTACAAGAAACCCGGCCTTCACAACAAAGAGGAGCGCAAAGCACAATAAGTTCTCTAGAAATCCTGCTCACTTCTTAAACAATTATCTCCTTGACTAGGAGAGAGGCTTATATCTTACAATGAAGATGGGGGTCTTCTGTGGGGTACATCATTACCCCCTTTGATGCTCACTATTTAATCCTCTAAGTCAAAAAGCATTATTATCTTCTTGGCTTTAAGCTTTATATAATGTCACATCATATTTTTTTTTAACAGCTGCTTCTATAGTAGACCCACTAGTTGTAATGTAAAGAGGAAGCAAACATGGAAGCAATGAACAAGTTCATAGCATAATCCCTGCTATGTCAATTAAGATTTGAATCCATCAAGAACAGGAAACCATCCACCAACTAGTGAGCTTGGATGCCAACCGTAATACCCTTTCAGGTTTGAACTGGTACATGTGGTAGTTTTCTGATAGTGTTAACTATGTGTTTGATTGTTATCAGTCCTAGAGTCAAGAGAAAAGAAAGGACTGTGTATATGAAAGAGGTAAGTGGTGGCAATGAGAGTATAAGAGCTGTCTTAGAGGGAGAAACAGTCCATTTTCCTGTTGGTGAGTTTATCTTACACCTTGTGTGGATCATCCAGCCCACAGTGGCTGAAGCAGGGCTGATGTTTCCTCTAGCTTTGGGCACATGCAGGCTAGTCAGCTTCCAGAATGACTTGAGAAGGGTTGGTGTCCTTCTGATCCTTGAGCTTGTCAGGTGTTTCCTTCTTCCTGATGCTCAGCTTAAAGGGTGCAAATTAAGGAGAGAAAGCTGCAAAAGAATGTACATAAGAATAAGAGATTTTATTTTCAAGAAATTCCAAAAGGAACAAAATATTACATAATGTATATTTCTGCATGTGTACATACATGTATTGACATATTTGGTGACACTCTAAAGAAGAGTAAGGGATTGTGGACAGTGCTCAGAGTGGGGCTGTGACAGAGGTGGGGGATATCCCAGGAGGCCTGAACTATGTAGATTTATCTCAATGTAACTTTAAACAAATTTGAAAACAACCTATAATTTCAGAAGCCTGACCCAACATTGGCTTATGATCTTCCATATATTATTATTTCATCTAAAAAATAAAAAATAAATTTTAACCCCCTGTCTCAAAGGTCAATTGCACTTCAAAGTGGGTTAACTTTAAGCTCAGAATATATTTCTGCGTGGAAATTATGTCATATGCCTACTTGGATCCCAAAGTTTAGGCAGTGCTCAGCAGCTTAATTTACCCTTGGCTTATCCTCCTCACCATCTTTACTTTACCAGATGCAAACCCAAGGTTGTATCCAGCTCTACCCATTCTGAAGTCTTTACCCCTCCTCACAATACCCCTTAGCCAGACAAAACTTGCTAACTTATATTTTTTCTTTCTTGATAATCTCTTGGAAGAAGCCAGAGTTAGGCTAAATTTGGTAGATCTAGGAGGGTATTTTCCAAATGGGTTGTTTTTCTCCAAGTTCAGGTATGGCCAGTCTGGCTGTCCCCAGCCTGCTGCAATGTGCTCAGGCCTCACACCACTGCCCAGAGACCCAGTGCCCATATGGCCCCATGTCCAGGACACAGAGTCCCCTCAGGGAGGAGTGGGGGATAGGGGAAGAAGACGTGGTGGGAAGTTTAGGAGAAAGGACCAGAAGGTGCTTCCAGGGCTGGACTCCCAGAGCATCCAGAGATCCCTCTCCAGCTTGCCCTAAAGGATCAGGTCCAGACCTGGTCAGCAGCTCCCAGGCTCTGACCCTGCTCTCTCAGCAGTGAGCTGGACCCACCTAGACCCACCCACTGCCTGCTGTGAGGACCTCAGCCTTTATTTAATGTGCTCACTAGTTTATTTGGATGAGTTCCCTGAGTTAGAGTCATAACTCCTCAAGGGTCCTGAGGAGTCGTGGTTGGTCCGGGGGTGGGGGGGGGGGTGGCGATAGGCAGGCAGCATGGTGAGGTGACTGTGATGGATAATGCCCAGTTTCCTAGCTCTTGTATATCTTGAGCAGACCAGAAGCCTTGGAGTCAATTCACTCCAATGGCACCATCATGAAATGGGGCATCTTGTGGCCATAGCAGCATCCAGCCACTTTTAGCATAGGGCATCAGGCATCAAAAGTCAGGACTGCAGTATTGGAATGGGGTGTGGGTGTCTGTGGATGTGTCAGCATGCAGCTGTGTACCTTGCTTCCTACTCATGCTGGCGGTGACTGTGGAAGGATCCAGAAAGAGTGGTTGTGAAAACAGAGGCATCCAGTCCTGAGGGTTGTCATCCTGCCATAGTGACAAGAGTCTGGCTGCAGTTGCAATAAAGTTGGCATCCAGTGCTGAGCATCACTGTCTGGTGTCCATGTTAAAGTCTGGTGACAGCAGGGTGGAGCTTCAAAGTCTGGCAGGGGTGAGAGCAACATGCACCTGCATCAGGGGTCCTCAGTATAGGGGTCGGATATCAGGCTTGGGGTGAAGTGCAGTGACGTTGGGTCCTTGGTGGGCAGCGTCAGAATCCAGCTGGAGTTTGAAAGTTCAATTGCTGCACGATGGTGGTGGCACCAGAAGAGCCCAGAAGCAGGGGCAGCAACAACAGGCAGTGTCCAGCAGTGAGCATCTCATTCCTGCAGCAGTAATTGGGGTCCGGCTGCAGGGTGGTGAATGTGGCATCCAGTGGCCATGTGGGGAATCTGGGTGGCTACAGCAAAGAGCTCCAGGCTGGCAGTGGTCGTGAGGGCATGGGATAGTGGGCATCAGAGTGAGAAGGTGACCAGTAGCTAAGATGGCCTCTGGAAGCTCCAGGCCCTGGTCTTTCTCCTGGTGGACTTGGCCTGCTCAGGAAGAAGCATATGGGAGACCACAGTACCCAGGCAGCAATCCAGGAACTTATCTGCCCTCAGCTGCCATGCCTCGCTCTGGCCATGAGCCCACTTGGTTCCTCTTCACCTCATGCCCTGGTACAGCTTCTACTGAGGAACTAGGCTGTCTGCCAGATTGAGGTGGCCTTAGGAGAGAACCCCACTGTCCCCAGCCACATCCTGCATGGACTGTGGGGACAGAGATCAGAGGTCCTAGGACATCTTCACCTCCAAAGCACATTTCTGTGGCTAAGGGCAGCAGAAGACCAAGACAGAGGGTCTGCACCCTTAGGCTCCCTCTGCCACCTGTGCCCTCCACTCTTGTCCTGCCCCAGGATGCCCTTGGAGGGTGAGGATTTTCTAGGCCCCCCCACCTCCCACCTCTGCACTCTGCTGCCACAGCCCAGGGGAGATGTGCCTGGGGAGGGTGGGTGTCCTCTCCAAAGGCTTCCCCAGCTGGAAGATGGCCTACTCACCCCTTAGAGGCTACAACCCTGGGAGGGACTCAAGGATCAGGCGAGCAGCTGCCTGGTGGACTCAAGGCCAATGCCAGGCATGGCTGGCCTGGTCAGTATAAGGACCTCAGCAGCTGTCTGGGTACCACCAGCTCCTATGTCCTGCTTCCTGAGCAGGCAGGTTCTACTAGAAGCAAGACCAGTCACCTGGGGGAGCCACTGCAGAGACCATCACAGCCTCCAGTTGCCCTCTGACTCTGAGGCCCACTGTCCCATGCTGTCACCATCACCGCTACCAGAGCTCCACACTGTGGCCACTGGAGTCCCCACATAGCCACCAGTAATGCTGCGGCCACCACCACTGCATTGGGAACAGACTCCCACCACCACCAGAGGATGAGGATGCTCCTGTCTGGATGCCTGGCTTGCTGCCACCACCTCCAGACTCCTCAGTTGCCTTTGCCACCGCTGCCATAACTGAACTCCAGAAACTGACATCCACAGAGGCCCAACACCAAGGCTTCACTGTCCTGGTTCCTGCTCGTGGCTGTCCTCCAAGCCTGAGGCCAAGTCTCCATCCTGCCACTGATACATCTGGACTCCCCAAACTGCCATGGGACTCCTGTTTGACATCCTCCTCACAGATGGATGCTCCTGCTACAGAATCCTGCACTGCTCCGGGTCACTGGGAAACTCCAATGTGGAACTCTGCTGTGGAATGCTAAGGCTGGCCTCTGTAGGCTCCAGTTCTGGATACCAGACTTATTTCAGAGCCACTGGACACTTCCACAGGTGCCACCTGCACCCCCAGGCTTGGGAAGGGTCCATCACATGCCCTTCCATGCCTGCTGCCTGTTTATTTCTGTCAAGGGATTAACTCACTGATCTCAAAACTGAATCATCTCACTGATAAACCTTGCATTGGCTCACCTGTGAGCTTCTGGGGACACCTACTACCTAACCCACAAAACATCTTCATCAAATAGGTTAGCAAGACCTCCTTGATGACTTGCAAGAGCTTCTGCATCAGTACTTGCTTCTTTGCCTTGCACTTTTATTTTATGGAGAGGAGCCTCTTGCCAAGAACATCATCAAACAAACTCTGGCAACTTCAAACTTCTTCTGCAGCTTTCTCAATTCTCTCGTCAGTAGAACAATGTAACGTGATGGCCTTATCTGGATTTGGCTTTGGCTGAATGGAACGTGGGTCGTTTCTTCTTTTCTCCACACTATGAAAAGTTTTTTTCCGAATGAGAAATAATGCTGTTATTTCCTTTTTGTCATTTACATATGCCCTGGAGCAGCCCTTTAATTTCCTTCATGAACATTTCCTTTGCATTCTCAGTGTGACAAAGTAGTGCAAGATGCACAGCTTTTTATGTGAAGTGCAAAGCATAAGACTCTTCCTTTTATTTAAATAGTACAGACCATTACTGATTTATTAATGGTTCTACTTCAATAGTGTGTCTTGGAGAATAAGAGGATGGTGAGCCATGATCTGTGGAGCAATAAGAATGCACATATTAAGGTTGTTATCTTATATGAACAGGATTTTTAGTGCCACGTGACAATTAAAATAGTTAATATCACAGATCACAGTATGAGTTATAATGGCCTGAAATCTTCAACACTCATTAGGCAGTCACCTCTGCTCCATTCACAGGGACCTCTATCTCACCTTCTCCAGGATGGCCTGTTTGTGTCCTCTCCCACAGCACCATGAGCTCTACGTGGGCTCCATCAGCAGCTACATAGTGCTGATGGTGGCACAGCCTGGTGAATGGATGAGCATTTTTAGGTCAACATAAAAGATTGTCACTAAAAATACTTACAATGCCATCCTAAAAATGAAAGAATTACCATCACAAAAAAAATAGACAATCTCAGAGGGAAGTGGAAGGAGAGCTGAGCTGGGGGGTCTGGCACTGGGTAATGCTCAGAAGGTCACATGTGGGTGGTGCCATAGAAAACATTAGAACTAGGGTGGAGAGCACACATTCCAGGAGAAGTGGAGGGCTGCTGGCCTAATACTTTCTTGGCTTCCTGCCTCTGTTGTTTTGGTGCCTGAAATTTAAGTTGCTGCCAGGAAAGGTGGCTCTCTTTCAAAGGATGGGATGGCAGCTTGGAGTACCATATGTAAATATATATATATATATATATATATATATATATATATATATATATATATCGTCATGAGGAGGATAATATTCAATGTACACTCACTTGCTTAGTTGTAGCTAAGGTGTCTCCTCTTCCTGAATGTTTACAGTGGCCACTCATGGCTCCATATCTTCCTGTGTGTTCAGTGCTGGTGTAGGGCCAACTTCGGTTTTCAGGGCTATTCCTCCTCCTTCACAGGGAATGTGATAATATGCTCCAAAAATATAAGCAGGTAAATTAGGCCATGGCTGCTGGAGGCAATTACATCACTTGGGGTGGTGCTGGACCTGCAGGAGAAAACACCCAACATGACTGGCATTCCTTGGGCCTTTCCCGATTCACACTAGAACCCTGCCTCTGAGAATAGCCCAGGCCCTCCCCAATAGGATATCTTCCCAGACTAGGTTCCATCAGCTGCAGGATGTCAGCCTTGTGTGTTTTGGGACCATATGGTGGATCCCAGGGTCACCAGCAGAGATTCCTCTGCACACACCTTCAGTCATCCACCTCAGGCCCCATCCCCATAATCAGAGAGCTCAGACTCACAGGATCTGTGTTCTCCAGCTGGGGAAGGACATGGAAGTTCCCCTCTGATTCAGGCATAATGAGTAACAGGAAGGCCCTGAGATATTTCAGGTTGTCCAAGTCTTCGGACCTCAAAAATATTCTGGATAGAGGCACAGCCACATTTCAATGATGGAGCAGAGGGTGCTATGGAGTGTGGAGTGAGACAGGGAGTCATGAGGGACTGGGTCTCACCTTTAGGTAGCACCTCCCAAGGCCCCTGCATCATGGGCTTCTCAATGAGTGCCCAAGCAGGCCCATGCACTACATCAAAAGGGCAACATTTGAGGCACATGTGTGGGTAAGTGGCTCCCCACACTTGCTGTCCAGTCTCTGTACAGAAAAGTATGGGCAACCCAGGCTGGAATTGGCTGTGTTGGGATGGGATCCTCACAGAGCCTGGTTCTGAGGCCCCAACCACTCCTCTGCTCCTTGGGTGTCCAGAATCCCATTGCAGCACACTATGTCCTCTCTACAGTATAAGCCCCAGAGTTGAGTCCTCTGATGGAAATCACACAGGGTGGAAATTGGGGTTTACCCAGCTATCTTTTACAACAGCCAATCAATTGGCCCCTCTTAAAACAGGAGCCCTCCCGACTGGCCCAAAGACCACTCACTTCTTTTTTTGTAGCCACTCCTCACAAACATCGGGCTGCAGGTTTCTATACCTAGAGAAGGTGAGGCAGCTGTCACCTCTAACATCCTGTGCCCCTCATCTGCCAAGATGGCTGGTGGGCTTGACTAACTTCCTGACAATCATGGAAGTTCTGGAGGGCTAGGAGGTTTGTCTGCATTGCTTCCTAAATGGTAGGCAAAGTGATGGCCAATAGTGATGTTACATATACATTTGAGCAATGACTGAGCCCAACCACCTAATGCCTAGCTACCTCAGGGCCAGGACCCATTCCTTTCTCCCCAAGGGTCCCTGTTCTGACTACATGCAGGTTTGGAACGCTCCCAGATGCAGTCCACAGACTCCTTCCCAAATGTGAAAATTGCTTATCCTGAAGCCTCAGAGTAGTGAGGCCTGAGATAGGGAACTTGCTCACAGAGAGGGGACGTGCCCACAGGGTAAGACCAGAGCTGCAGGCAGCATGTTACACAGAACCATGCCTGAGGCAGACACTCCTTGGGCTCATCCTACTCGGTTTTCTAAACATCCAGGCAGGGTTCTCCTCTGAAAACACTACTTTCTCCAGAGGGGACGGATTGCCCAGAAATCCCAGGACCAACTAGGACATGGCCATGTGCCAGGGCTTGGAGGTGATTGATACACACCTTTTACTACACAGCAGCTCCAGCACCTTCTGAGGATTAACCCGATTTGGGTAGGAATATAAAAATTCATGGCCATAGGAGGTGTTCCCCTTTGCAGGACAGGAACCAGGCCATTCCTTGGCTCCTGGAGGATGAGTGCTCTGAAGGTTTCCAGTAGACAGGACACATCCATTGATGAATCTTGGTCATCTTCTCCCTAGATTGTGGAATCAAATAGGGACACTACAACATGGAAAAGTAGCCTTATGCAAAATGACTCATTGCCATACACTCAGGTTAAATTGAAGGATTTATCTCTGTATTCTTGAGATATCACACACACACACACACACACACACACAACACACACATACACACACAAACCTGGTGAGGGTCTCTAGCAATCAAGGGGAAATTGAGTGGTGTCCTAGACTCTGGTCCCTTGTGGTTGCCTGTCATGTCTCAATTCTGCTCTCCTTGGGAAAAATTGCCAGAGTTCTAAGGACCCAGCAGTGACCCAGAACTCAAGAAAGGCCCCCCTATTCAGGACTTTTCTGAGGCTTGAGCATCCACAGATCAGGAACTCTTGGCACTGGGCTTGCTGTCTCAACACCAGTGAGCAGACTGGGACTGTATCTGATTGTTGGTGCCTAGCTACTAGGGTTGCAAGGTCTGTATGTTTTGTGACCAAAAAGTGAGGTCACTTCCTTGGGGACTCCTTACCTGAGTTCTATTCCCACATAAGATGCTTCCAAAGGCCCCCTGGGATCTGGGATGCTCCCATATTCTCATGACACAGGCACCAGTGAACACAGTTACACCAACACACCCTGGATCAGGTCCACAGATAAGCCAGGAATAGGCAGCTCCTCTGGTTTGGAACAGAATGTGGTCCAGACCCACGTCCTCCTTTAGGTTATGTGTGTGATCCTGAAGAAGTCATTGTGGCTTGAAAGACCTCCATGGCTCCCTAATGTGTCCATCAAGGATTATTAGACCACCTGCTTTTCAGGTGGTCATCAGGGGAATGAACCCATACATACATGTACTCCCTCAGATACCCTAATGCTAAAGTTATGAGTCAGTAATACACAAATCTACAGATGACACAGCATTGGAATTTGAGGGACAAAAAATGACATGCAACTCTACCATGACCTGAGTCCCACAGTGAGAGAGAGAAAGTCAACTCCTGCCTTGGCCATGGTCCCCTCTCTGCACCAGTGGAATGCTATAGTGGCTGATATTCAGAGATAGCCTCACCTTTGTCAGAGACCTGCCAATGGCTTCATGTGAGATTTAGAATTGTCCCAAGGTCTCTTCCCATTGTATTATGTGGGTTCATTACAGAGGATCCAAAAGACCATAGCATCCTGGTGCCCAAGGCCTGTAGCTCCCTTCCCTCCAAGTGGATCCACATCAGCATCTGGTTTCTAAGAAACAGAAATCAGCCAGGTCATGAAGACAACTTCTAAGTTCGAGTCAAGGGAAGTCTCATTTTTGTCTGGCTCCATAGCCCCACAGCTGGGGCACTGCTGGGATTCTAGAGCTCTGGGAGAAAAGTTTGTGTGGCAGCAACCAGAGAGACCCAGGGATCCCATGAAATGGCAAGGGGATGGTATTTCTGTGCTTCCCTTTCTGAGTGCCTCACAGAAGAGAAAATATGTGGGTTGTAAAATTCACTGATGAACAAAATATATCAAGAACCAACAATGTTGTGAAGTGGCCAAGATTTTGTCCAACAGCATGGTCCTAACCAGAGGAGTGGAGACTCTATCTTCATGACTTTAGGGAAAGGCTACATTGCTTCTTTCAGGGAAGCAGCAAGCCACTACCCTTTGTTTTGTGTGTCATTCAAGACAATTTCCTCCTATTCCTCCAAGTAAAATATTGAAACAAGGCCCCAGAAACATGAACAAAGAAGTATTTCAGGAGGCAATATTGACTCAATAGCTAAGGATACTGGAGCCGAGAGAAGGACAGACAATTCAGTTTTGAGGACTGGACAGGGAACAGGAGACCATTCCCTGCAGGGAACACTCACTAAACTAATCCATGACCACTGAGCACCCTGTGCTCACTCTTGTATAAAACTCAAGGAGCTGACACCTTTCCCCTCTCCTAAGGAACCTCAAGAATTAGCTAACTCTCCCAGGAGACTCAGGATCATCTTCCTTGTACACAGGGAGCTAAGTGGCTGCTCATTACTTTCCTACCAGAGGTGACAAGCACATGATGCTAAGTTCTTTTAAACTATACCAAACTTAAAAAATTGTTTATGCTCTCCCCAAAATAGCAGTAGAATCATCACTTCAAAGTACCATAAGAAAAACTAAATGGGAGAAGATTACTTAAGCAAAGAAATGATCAGGATTCAACTTCCAAAAGACCTAAATGCCCTTGCAGCTCCTGGTCCCTTTGCTGTGGCTTCCAATGGACAGCAGACTGCTTATGTGCTCATTTTGCCTTAGTGACACATGACCTAAGAGGAAAGGCTTTCTGTACACAACAGCTGCTTGACCCAAGCATCTGGATATACACAGCTGCAAATGTTGAAAGTAACACTAAATAATGTCTTTCAAGATAAATAGGTTCTCTCATCAACAATACTAAAATGAGATAAAATGCTACTAGGATACAAAAATGTAGACACTAAGCTGACCTAACACAATATTTATTAAGCATGTTACTTACTGACCCAAAAGTTATATCATAAAGCGTTTCTAAAAGACATCATTCTTATCCTTTCTTGAATTGCTTCTACTCATCTGAAAGATGCCACATCCTTAATTACTGGTTGATTTAGTGCCGTCACATTGGAATTTATTCCAATGTGAATTAAATGTCTTAAATTGAGAAGCCAAATCACAAATTTCCACCAAATCATTTATAAGAAGGTAAAATGGCCTTCTCCACCCAATTCTACACAATGTGGCTGAAAAATATCCCAACAAAGCCAGAAACACACTGAAAAGTTTCCATAAGAATTGTGGAATGATACGGCACCTTCAAAGAATTGAAGACAGTAGCTGCTGTCTATTAAGTGTCTGTACATTTGTTTTAGTAGCACCATCTACCACTGTGTTTCTGGCCCATGTTCAGGGACATGGTTTCTTCCACTCTTCATAGTAACTCAATGAGATGGGTACAACACCCCTGTATAGATGAGGAAACTGAGTCATGGACAAATTAAATGACTTGCCACAGAATACTCAGCATGAAGTGCCAGGGTGGGAATTCAAATCAGGGTGGGAATTCAAATCCAGGCTGTCCCACACCAAGTCTGGAACAGAGTGCACTTATTCACTCATTCAACAAACCCCTATGGGTGCCTCCTGGAAGTGAGTGCTTCCCATGTAAGCCCAAAGATTCATAGCACTATGCAATGTAGGTGTCTCTTTTAGCATTCCCAAGTTCCCAATGAGGCTGCTGACCTGGGGAGGCAAGGCCCATCAGGCCTGTGAGGAGACTTCACTTTGCATCAGTGAAGCCACACATAGCTACAGGTGGCTCTGTCCAGGTGGCCAACACACCTGCTTCCTCAGCTCACTGCCAGTAAACATCATGGTCATGGCCAAAGGTGGGTTCACGTCATTCTACAACTGTCCAAGCCCACAGAATATGCATCAGCAAGAGTAAAGATTAAGGTAAGCCCAAGAATCTAGGTGACAATGATGTGGGTTTCTGAACTGGAACAAATGTGCCTCTCTGGTGGCCAGTGATGGTGACAGAGGCTGAGGCTGTGCAGGGACGGGGGCATTCAGAATATCTTTGTCCTTCCTCTCAATTTTGAGCTTAAAAATGCTCTAAAAAGTTTTCAAGTAAAAAACAAGAAAAGAAAGAAGTGTGCTTTGTCACTCTGCACTGGGGCAGCTAAGGGCAGATGGCCAGAGCTCGGGGCAAACAGACCCAGCACCTCCTTTCCAACCTGCCTCTCTCCAAGCTCAGCACAGCATGGCCTTCAAGGGACTTTTTAGGTCTTTACAGAGAAGGTGTCTGATGGTCACAGATCAGAAGTCCTGCCTGCAACCTCCTCAGGAGGAGGCCATGGGGGAAGACTCAGATTTAGGGTGGCCCACCTCTCCCTCTCTGTCCCTGTGCTGTCCCTACTTATCTCCATGTCACCCCTGCCCCCTCAGAGGCTGCCAGCTGCTTGCTGCCTGAGCACCTTTGTGCTGCTCTTCCCACTTCTTGGCCCAGCAGCTCCTGTCCATCAATAAGCTCTCAGCTCCCACTACACCTCCTCTGAGAAGCCCATTCTGACTACCACCCAGGAACACCCTGACCCTCTCTCCCCTCTGAATTCTGAATTCAACCTATTTCTTCATCAGTTTGCTTGTTCTTTCTCGGGCCCTCCTTCTGGACCATGGACTCCAGGAGGGTAGGGGCCTTCCTTGAGCTCACTGTGGTCTCCCCAGCTCCCCCAGGACTGGAGAGGAGGGCTTGGAAGCTGTGGAAAAGGCACAGGGTGAGGATATAATGAGAAGTGTGCAGGCTGCCACCTGGGGGAGGGCCCGCACCAGACCCTGCCATCCTGGCCCCCTGATCTTGGCCTGTCAGCCTCCAGATCTGTGAGAAATCAGTTTCTGTTGTTTCAAAGCCACACTTGATGGGTCTTAGGTACACCTGCCTTCACTGATTCAGACCTGGGCAACGTGGGCCAGATTTGGGTAATGCATTCTGGACACTTGGAGGTACCCAGGCAAGCTGGGGATGCTGTCTCCATGCAGCAAGTAGGTGTCTGTGTGCACAATATCATGGTCTGCTCACCTGATCCAGTGGACACCTGGCAAACCGTAAGCCTGCAGGCAGCACTTAGGACCAAAGACAGGCACAGGGGCAAACTCAGCCACCTCTACTGCAAGAGGCTATGCTCCAAACGTAGCTGATCTCACCCCTTCAGTGCGCACATCTGTGGCTTGCCTGCTTGGCTTTCACCTCCTTGCCTCATCATTTAACCTTGAATATTTTTGGCGACAATTTCTTTCTCTTATATGGTGACTCAGCCCCTCGAGGCTTGATCACTGAGATCAATCCATTCCACCATGATGGGCACAAAGAAGCAGTGACGCAGGCTGGACCAGCCACACCAATCCCATTACTTTCATTATCATCATTAGGCATGGGACACTGTCTTTTCCTTCAATGCCAAACTAGCAGACTGTGCCCCGAAAGCTGCTTGGCAATATGCCACCACCCCACTGAGAGAGGGTGAGCAGGAGAAAGCAGTGCAGGGAGATGGAGAGAGGCAGTATCCTGAGGACATCACTGCAACCTCTGGATAAAGCTGTGCCTGAATCTGTGTTCACCACATACTTCCCACACACGTGAACCAAAGCAATCCACTTTACAGCCTTCTTTTTCTCCTGTAAAGTTATGTTTCTTTACTTATTGTTCTGGCTAATTTTGTTAGGGTTTATCCAATTTGAAAGATGGACCCACTTTGCTGCTTCACAGCTGTGTGGCCTTGGCTCAGTCATTAAACCCTCAGAGCTTCAACATCCTTGCTAGTAAAGAGGAGTTGCTACCTCCACCTTCAAAAGAGGAAGTCAGCCTTGTAAATTATATGAGACAAGGCAAAGCACTTAGGATTGAGGTTTGATGAATGGAAGATTCTATAATTCTAATCTACTAATTAAGCATAATGTACTGAAGAATAACTACAGGGAATGCTTTCAAAGACCAAAGAATCACTGAGTGTCTGACTCCTAGGGCCTCAGCTATCTGATTTTTCATTGTGGCCTCAGTGTGGAAGCAACTTTTGCATCCCTAAGAACACCCACAATCTGAGCTCCTAAAACATCAGCACAGAAAAAGCATAAAAATATGGATATTCTATCTTCTCATATCACTAAAAGAAAAACACAGTGACCCATCTGAATTTAGAACTCGGAAACCCCTCACCCAAGGGCTCAGGACAACATCATGGCAGGGCCAGAGGCTCCCTCCAAAGGGCTTATCTCTTTGGACATCAAGAAATACCCCTTGTATTCAACATATAGCACAGCTCTGGGGCCTGCAGCACCCCTACCCAGGGCTTATCCAGATGATCAAGCTCATGCTCTGAGAGCATCTGCCAAGTCATCTGTGAGCAGAGGGAAGAAACTGACCCACTACAGCTGAGTCCATCTTGCTCCCACTGGAATGAGCCAAGCACACCTTCCTGCATACAGATGGTGCCACTAGGACAGGTCAGCAACACTGCTGCATAAGGGGAAAGAGACTGTCATCACAGAGGTTCAGGAGCTACTAAGTGGGCAGGACCACACTTTGAACCCAGGACTGTCTGATTCCGAAGTCTGGACCTTTGCCAACTCCCAGCATAGGTAACAACCACCTATGGGCTGTTGGTTCCAGCTGCAGATCAATGGAAAGCAGGGTTTGCAGCCAGACCCCTGGGTGAACCACTCACCATATCTGGGACCTTAGGCAACTTACCTGCCATCTCCTTGTCCCATTTTCCTAATGCACAAGTGAAGGTGTGTTGTTCACTGCACAGAGCATGGAGGTAGTTAAATTAGATTGTCTATAGAACAGGCTCAGTATCGTATGGTGATTTTTGTTTTGCTTATTTGTTTTTATGCCTTTATTTACTAAGGATGTCTTTAACTGAGCCCTGGGCTTCCTGGCAGGGAGCAAGCCTTATCAGCTACTGTTTTATTATATCTGTAGCCTTGGCAAATTCCAGGGAGGGCCTGGTCACAGAGGGTGGTGCCAGGCATTGGCTAGACCCTAGGGCTCACCAGAAGTGGTGGTCAGCTCTAGAACCTCTTCTGCTTAGAAAGCAGGAACAGGGGGATGTGAGAGGGACTCTCTAGGGGTCACATAGGTTTTAGGGACTGAGGCCTAGGAACAAGGACTCAGGCCAAGTCCTCTTCCATCAGGTGTCGGCAGCCTTAGCAATTGCAGGACCATTGGGGTAACAAAAGTGCCCTTTCCTACTTGTTAACCCATGACATAATGCTCTCCCCAACTACTACAGCACCCCATGAGGCTTTGGCAGGGAGACCCAACAGGATGGCACAGGAGACACAAGCAAACAAGAAAGTCAGGCCCCTCCTGCCACCCTCACTTCTGAGAACCAGGGAGATCAAGGCTACCAGACACTCGTCAATATCCTAAGAACCCAGGAGCTGCACTGCCAGAGGCCTGAAACAGCCTCAAAACACATCCGGTGGCGGGGGACTGCATTATTCATGAGAAGTTCTGCCCCATGAGCCCACACACAGGCTCAACTGAGTGAATCCTACAGGACTCACGGGACCCAGAAATGTCCTTCTTGGAAGTTCTGCACCCATTCAATGGACAAGAATTCTGCAGCACCTCCTCTGCATGCTGGAAAGTGGAGGCTGGGCCTGGGATTCCCAGCCCAGAGTAAAATTTCTACAAAGAACAGGCAGAAGTTTCCTCTCTGGCCTGACACCCTGGGGACCGTGCTTGCTCCCCACTTGTCCCTGATACTTGCATGTTTCTCCTCTGGTCCAAACTCCCCCAGGGCTCTCATGTTATCCAGAGTGAGGACCAAAGACTTCAGCAGCCAAGAGGCTCGGCATGGTGGGCCCTGTTCTTTCTTTGACCTCATCGTCACTCTCCTTCACTCTGCTCTGGTTACATTGGCCACCTTGCTACTCTGTCTTTTCAACTCAAGGTCTTTGCAGGTGTTGATATTCTTCCAGGAACACACTTCCTGCTGAAATGTATGTCCTCCCTTCCAATGCTCTGCTCAAACGTTATCCCCTCAGAGAGGCCAAGCTGACCACCACCACTGGTGAGCCCTTTCCCTCTCTCTCTGACCTTGATTTCTGCCATGGAACTTATTTATCTACCTGTCCTCAGACTGGGTTGTACTTTCAATGAAAACATGTGAGTAAGTGCTCAATCTGCATCTGCATGGGAAGGAGCTCCTCAGTGATGCTTAGTGCATCCATCACATGATGCCAACCCTAAAGCGCACACACACACACACACACACACACACACACACACACACACCAGGATGGCCCAAAATGTCTACACCATGCAAGATCTCTGGCTGACAGCTCACAAGATGCAAACATGACTGCAAAGGGGTGCCAGGCTGAACGATGGTGGGGGATGACTAGAGAAGGGCAAGTCACACACACACAAAAATATTAGCCTTATTTATTCATATATACTCATGCATTACACAAACACAGATTCACAAAAACAGTTCACACAGATTCACATACAATGCCTGGAAATGCACTTGGACATCTGCAGACAGATGCACATACATTCTCATACACACACACTCCAGCCACAACTCCACACACATGCACACACACATGCACACACACACACACAGCCATGTGTGCACCCACGCACACTCAGTCCAGCCATGAAGATGCCATCCTTAGCCCCCAGCATTGTAAATGTTCCCCACCTCTACAGGGACCTCACAGGTGACTGGCTATAAATCCAGAGGCTGGACTAATCTCCAGGGTGGCCCAAGGGACAGTAAAAGGGCAGCAGGACAGCAGGAGTCTGTCTGTCATTCTCCTGTGTAAGGTGGTTAGGATGAGGGGACCCTGACTGCCAAAGAAGCAGTTCACAGATCCTGACCTGTGACCCCCAAGAAGTGGCCTCTGTCTCCTGGTGGTGGCTCTGGGGTCTAGGAATATGTGGGTGCAGGAGAGAGTCTTTTTTTTCCCTAAACTGAACCTCTCTCCTTTGCTGAAGGCTGGGCCCTCCTTGGCAAACTCACTCAACATCAACCTCCCCAAACAGGCCTACCTGTCCCCAAGAGCATGTCTCTCTTTTTAGCCCTCTTCACTGAGCCCCACACAGCTGTTCCTGCAGAAGATGGAGTCCCACCAGACACCTCAAGGTATGCCCCCACCCTGGAGGATCCTCACACTGCATCCACCCCTGCCACCCCCAGAACCTTAAACTCATGGGTCACACCTCCAGCCCTCCATCCTGGGTGAGCCTGCCTATAGTGTGACACTGCCTGTCACCAGGGAGCACCCCTCCAGGAGCCATTGCCCCCGACCCAAGTTGGCTCTGCTTTCCCAGATGTGCATCCTGCACCTACCTTTTTCTTCAAGGTCTGCAGCATCTTCAGTAGTCTGCAGCATCTTCTGCCTTGTGCCAGGTCTTCACCCCTGGGGGACAAGCAGGTGGGCATGGGTGAGCACATGTAGGGGCAGCCAGGCATGTCCTTCCCTCAGCCCACCTGAAACTTCCTTACCTGTGGGAGCAGCTTCCATGGCTCTCACAGCTTCCTCTGAACAGAAAGGCATGGGGGACCCTTGGGAATATGCGCCCGGTAAAGGCAGTGTGGTTGTTGTGTTACCACTCAGGTGGGCATGGGTAGAGCCAGGGACTGCCAAGTTCTGAACTCAGAGTCAGTACCTCCCACTACAGTTGGACCATTCACTAGGAGGGCACCATCACCTAAGATCAGCTTGGAAAGGGTTGGAAAATTTTCCTGGAGACCAAAGCCTTCCTCAGGATCTGAGAATCCCCTCACCTGATCCAGGCTGCCCTCACATGGACTCATACCAGCATCACAGAGCAATGGTGCAGTAGCTTAACCACAAGAGGCCTCTGCTTCCTGCAGTGTCACTTCAGCGCCCTCTACTGAGGAAGCCCCCATCATGCACCGTGTAAATGGGAAATGGTGTAAAAGCCAGGCTATGGTGGAGGAGCAAACACTGAAGGAAGGAAGGAAATAAGATCAGAGCCAACATTAATGCACTTGGGAATAAAAAAATAACAACATTAAGGACCAATGAAACAGTGTTTCTTTGAAAACGTAAACAAGATGGATAATGCTAACATAACCAAGAGAAAAGGAGAGAAAATCCAAGTTTATAAAATTAGAGATTAAAAAGGTGAAATCACCATAGATACCACAGAAATCCAGCAGATCATTAGAGACTACTTTGAAACTGGTACGCCAATACATTGGAAAACCTAGAATAAATGAATACATATCTAGATAAATAGGATCTACCAAAACTGAATCAAGAGCAAAAGAAAACCCAAACAGACCAATGAGTTGTAATGAGATGGAAGGCTTTTAATTATTGTCTCTAGCAAAGAAAAACCCAGGGCTGGATGGACTCCCAGCTGAGGTGTACCAAAAACCTTTAAAGGAGAACTGATGCCAAAACACCTCAAATTACTCCATGAAATACAAAGGGATGAACACGTTCCAAATTTATAAAGCCACCATTGCACACATACCAAAGCCAGATGAGGACACATCTAGAAAAAAACCTACACACCAACATCCACAAATAACTTAGATGCACAAATATGGGATGTATGCTTCCTCTGATATGCAAAAAAAAAAAAAAAAAGAACAAAAAGGAAAAGAAATGTGGGAATGACGAGTGGAGAAAAGGGACCAAGGGGTAGCGGTTGGAGGTAGGGGGAGCTAAGACATACTGCAGCAGTAAAAATCTGGGGAAATGATAAAGATTTCCAGGAAATCTCATTTTGATCCAAACCCCCAACAATTGAGACAACCAGTCATTAAGGGAATGGAACAGCTCTCAAAAACTGTTCCATATCACATTTCACATGAAACCACTGTTTTTTGTTTGTTGGTTTCATTGTTTTTTTGTTTGTTTGTTTGGTGAGGTGGGCTTGTCAATCAGCCTACCCTTTAAAATAGAAGAATTGCCACAAGGTATTTGTATGATGAACTAGGAGGAAGCCCTAGACGGAACTCCAACACTAGTCTTTACAAGGATCAGCCTTCTGGGCCAGGCAACATGGCTCTCAGTAAGTTAAGTGTCCTGGTAGAAATGTGAAGAGATGGAAGTCAAGCTAAAGGAGAGCTGGAATCCTAGAGGTGATGACCCAACCAAGGCCTGCTCCTTGGCACTGCATTCCCCGCACCCCCACTTTTGGTAGTAGTATTATTTTTCCCACATGGAATTTATAAAATAGGTGCAGAATAATCCTCTTAGTGTATTCTGTGGTGACTGAGGAGCAAGGACAGTTATTTAGAAAGCCAGCTTATGTATCCCATTGTGCAACACGTCACCACTCTTCTGAATGTTGTTGTAGTCTGTTTCTCCTTTTTACAGGAGGCTTTTTAGCCATGATTGGCAGAGGTGGGTCCAGGAGGCTGTCCTTACTGCTCATCAGTTGCTTAATGGACTTTGAGATCAGGCTCATTTTTTTCATGTATTTTGTCTTTCAGTTCACTTATAGTCATTGAAGGGACTGTGGCAAGAAGTCATTAAGGATGCAGCATCTTTCTGATGGACACGAGCAGATTATTGAAGAGTAAGAGAACTGTGTTGTAGAAATTCTTTAGCATGCATGTTTTGGGTCAATGATTTTGCTAATGTAACATGCATAGGGTTCTAATGATCATGAAGATTTTCTACTTTGTTTTCCACATTGAAATATGGCCAGTTTATTCACTACTGTTCTTATACTCTGGTAGTTTCAGTGTAGTTTTAACATTTGCTGAGAAGACAACCAATTTATCTTAAGAGATGGCCCTTCATGTTGCTTCCCCAAGTCTCCTACACTTTCTTTATTCCTACTTCATCTTCTTCCTCTGTTTCTGCTCTCTTTGGCATTTAAGTGAACTGTGTTGGAGCTCACTGGTTCTTCCCTCTGGGTGATCAATTCTGCTAGGAGGCTCTGTATGTTTTGGAGCTCATTCACTGTAATTCTCAGGGGCAGAATTCTGGAGTGATTTTGGAAACTTAGTGCAATCTCTTGCTCACCTGCTCTGGCAGGTTTCTGTATTGCTTCTCTGTATTCTCAGAGTTTGTTCAGTTCACTTCAAATGACTCTTTTGAATCCTTGGCCACTGCCCAGTCTATGCAGAAGCCCATGTATGGAAGGCCCTCTCCTGTGAGGACATTTTTAACAACTAACCTTCATGTTTGTATTCTCACTAGAGTTTGCCCTGTCCCCTTTCCATCCCTCATCAGTTCTTGCACGCTGTCTTTCACTTTGCAACCAGGCACATATTGATCTTAGTGATTTTAAAGTCCTAGCCTTACCATTGCAATATTTCTGCCAAATCAGAACCTGGCTCCCAGGCTTGCTCTATCCACACTGCACATTCTCTCTGTTCATATCACATGTGCCCTATGTGTCCTTTAGAGCCCTAGCATATTAACCACACTTGTTTCTCTTTCTCAGTTGTCCAAGGCTCTCTTCACTGCATGTTTCAGGATGGTTCTACTGCTGCCTCTGTCTCTTCAAATGATGCCTTTTGTTAGTGCACTTTTCACATTTAGTCCTGCTGTGGACATGATGTACTGGCGAAAAGGAACAGAGGCTTGTAGGCCTCTAGATCTAGTTTATATTTTATTGGCTCAGAGTTGTGGTGTGATGATGAGCTGTATTTTTTAAGGGCTTGTGACTTTGGTTTTCCTAAGGATATCTTCATAAGGTCTGAGTCTTACAATTCCGTCTTGTGAAAACTGCCATTAGTATATGGAGGTCCTAGAGTTGCAGGGTGAGGTATGGAGGGAGGAAGCCTTCATTAATCCTGAGACCAGTCAGTAATTGAGCCTGAGACCCTGGGCTGTGACTTTCTCAAGTCCTTCTCATTCCTCCTCTTCAGATGTGACTGGAAGTGCAGAGGAAACTGGAGGAAGTTATTTCCATTCTCCCCAATAAAAGGCCAGATGGGACTACATTTGGAGCCTTCCCTTCCCACATGCCAGGGAACCCAGGCTGGTTAGGCTCTGCTCAGATGGTTTCTTCATAGGGAATATGTTGTATTCATGAAAGGAGGATGGATCCAGGTGGACCTAGAAGCCAATGCCTCAGTTTCCTCTATCCCCACTGGAAACATGAGGGAAACTTTGTCTGACCTTTCTCCTGAGCAGCTGGTGTGCTAACTGGAGGGAGATGTGTGGAGGTGTGAGGAGCTCCAGGAGATTGGTTCTTCCCATGAGGACTCTTAGTTATATAGAGGGACAACCCTGCACCTCCAGCCAGTCAGCAGTGACGGTGTCAGCTTTCCTACCCAGCTACAGTCTCCAGAAGAGGCCCCTGCTCAGTTTAGCTGATGGTATGAATTTCCAATGACCCAATTTCAGGAGCAGTGGTTGGCCCTTGGACCTCCATCTACTCTGGGGGCTGAGAGCTATAGTCATTTTCTGTTTAGACTTCCCTGGGAGGGCTGTGAGCATGGGGATGATGACCACAGAGCTCCACATGCATTGGTCCACATATTGAAAACCTCTCAATATTTCCTTAACACTAACATCGGATTAAGTTTTTTTTTTGTTCACACAGAAAACACTCTACTACCATCCCAATTCCAGAAAGTGGGAAGATGTACTCAGGAAGCACTCCTGCTTTGTCAAAGAAGAATGACACAAATGCCTCAAGAATATGTTACACCCTTGAATTAATTTTTCCCTAGGTTCAAAACAAAAGTGAGTTTTCTTTTCTTGTTCTTCCTGGCCCAGGTGTTCTGATGCCATGCCTGCACTCTCTGTGGAAGATGTTCCTGATGGTGATTGGCCCAAGACTCACAAACTACACAAAGAATCAAAAAGAAGAGGCCACCTCGGAAAGGGAAAAATATGAGCAGTGGGGCCCCTGGTGGATGTGACTGATGATGCAGACCCTTCAAAACCAATTAAGTGTGTGACAGGTGGCAGGTCGTACAGCAAGTGTGAGTCTTCCCTTTACACTTCCAGTTGGGGCACTAGATCAGGGGCCAGCATCCCTTCAACTCAAGAAACATTCTGAGTAGGCCAGAAAAGGAGATTCTTCATTTCCCAAGAATGTATCTATAGGCCAAGGCACATGGTCTCCTTCAGCGTGATGGTTGCATTCTACAACTTTTGGGGAGCCCAATCTACTCGGTGGGGAGTTCCACAAAATGCATGTAGTGCACAGTACATGAGGTGGATCTCTCACCCATTCAGCTTCTCCTGCCAGTAGCCATCTGGCTCCATCACCTACTCCATGGCTTTTGTCTGGAGTGGTGTCAAATCCTTCTCTTTCTAGAAGAGACAGGTTTTCACTTCTCAGCCTTGATTTTGAACATCTCAGGACTCTCCTGGTTAGAAGGGGGAAGGAGGCATTTTGGGTTGAGCATGGCAGCTATCCCCCTTGATCTGAGCCAGTTAGGGACCTGCTGCCATGTACTTTGATTGGCCGCCTGAATTTTCCAAATTCCTTAGTCAGTGTCCAGCAGAGGGAGCTCTCCACAGTCTCAACCATCCACCTGATGATGGAGATCAAAAACAGAGAGCCCAATTTGTAACCAGGTGGAAAGGACTCTGACCTGGTTTTAGGGAGGGACAGAGAAGGTCAAGAGGAACAATCATTGAACACATGAAAGCTTGATATATTCCATCTAGGGTTGTCTCCTGAACAGACATGTGAGATTTATAGAGTGGTGGTCCACTAACCAGGGACTGTGGGTTCCCAGGATGAGAAGGGCAAATCATCTTCTGGTGGTGTCTTTCCTCCTCAGATGTGGTGAATGAGAGTTAGAAATGTCTGAGCGATGAGGAGTACTTCATGAGGGCCTGTCCACTTATCCATGAATTGCGCTTTGGATCTCTGTTTTTTCTGTCATAAGCAGGATTGCGTCTGCTGCCTGGAAAGTATGGCAATGGCACTGAGGAGAGGGTGTTGTCCTAGAAGAAGGAAATTCCTGCGTGGAGGTCAGAATTAGTTTCAGCAGCTGTACAGAATATTGGGTGCTGCCTTCACATTTTCAAGGTGGAGAATTCATTCTTCTTAGTGAGGTCTGAAAGGATCTTCCCTGTGTGATCTCATAAGGGTTCAACTGCAGCCCCATTCTGGGGACAGGCAGGATGTGGGGATGGGCAGTAGGTAATAGCACTTCCCACATCAGTCTAGTTTCCTGACATAATTAGTCTACAGTTATTTTGTAACACATACCATGGAGTTGAGTGGGTTCTTTGCCTTGTTAATCCATTAAAAGAATTTCAGACACAAATAGTGGAAGGGTGAGGGCAAAGTGTCAGAAATTACAAAAACAATATAAAAAAAGCGGAACTCCTGCATGGGTGGGGTCCCAAGAGAGGATTGCCAGTGAGTGGCAGTTGTCTCAGGTTTTATAAGGATCTAAGGGTTAAGAAAATCAGCCCCCAGCCCACTCCTGGGTAAGGCATTCAGTGACAATGTGCTCTTCACGTGCCCTTTCTTCCATTCAGGTTAAGGTCACTGTGTTGAAGTTTGTCCCTTTTCAGAAAGGTCTGGGCTCTGGATAACAGATGTCTCGCCCTTTGTTTGATGCTCAGCCTTGCATCTGTGGTCTTTGTATTCTGTTCCACTGTGGTCTTTCTGTTAGGAGAAACCTGACCTTGGTGAGCCCAAGTCTCCCATCTGCCTACCCAGCTCTTTCCCTACCTCCATTTTAGAGTGTGTGTCATTTTTTGTGTTCCATGTTGATTGAGGTCTCCAGGCATCACACAGTCTCCAAAGTTCTCAAGATTTATTCACCCGGTGAATAAATCTTATTTGGAGACAAAGGTGAGAACATTGTTACATTGAAAGAAGTCACCTATACTCTACCTGGAGAAGCTGTTTCCCAATAGTCGCCCACAAGGTGCTTCTGAGCTCCTTTTCATTCAATTTTCTACCAGTGTTGGATATTTAGGTGTAGTTCTTTGCCAATCCTAAAAACAATATGGCCCTCAAATTGTGCCCACTATTTTTGGCAGTTTTTTTCATTTTCAGTCTTTTTTGGGCACAGAATTGGCATCTTGAGTCACCTCTTTTATTTTCTGTCATAAGCATTCCAATTTCACAGAGGAGTGGTCTGGATAATTGCTTACACATATATGGCCCAAAATGAGATTTTAAGGGACAAAACAAATGGCATCAGAGCTCAAGGAAACATCATCTGGTGGTGGGCCCTTCCCTACCAACTGCAGGAGGAAGTAGAGAGGCATGACCCATAGACCCTTCTGTCTGCATCACACCACAGGAATACCAGAGGCTCCCCACCCCCTCGACAAGCAGAGAATTCCACTCCTTCACACTGTGGAACTTGAGGCCCAGGGTCAGGTCTCAGTAGTCACAGCTAGAGATGCAACAGTGAAAAGGGGCAATGGAATGCATCTGGAGTGAAACTCAACACCACACACCAAACCATCCCTAGCCCACTGCACCAGGAGAAGGCAGTTGATAATAATGGATCCAAAACAAGTGTGAGACACAACTGGACAGTGCCTGCCTTTAATCCCAGCAGATAGGAGACTGAGGTAGGAGGATTGAAATTTCAAAGCCAGCTTCTGTAACACAGTGGTGCCCTATGCAAGTTAATGATAGCTTCTCTACAAATGGAAATTTTAAAAAAAGGGCTGAAGATGTGGCTGGCTCAGTGTTTAAGCTCCTCTGTGTTCCAACCCAGATTAAAAAAAAAGCAGAGACATATCCAGCCCATTGGCAGTACAAGTGTCAACACAAATAAGAGAAATTTCACAATACAAGACAACCTGACGCCACCTATGTTCTATAATTTTCTTGGCACTGATGCAAAATATTTGAACATGCCAGACAAACTATGCAAAACATTAATCTTTTAAAAATATCAATGGAATTTGAGAGAATGCAACTGAAAGAATGAAAGGAATTAAGACAGAACATAAACCCAGAGAGAGAGAGTGTTTGAAAAAGAACCAGACTTAAACAATGAGTCACAATGGCCCACAGAAGGAACTTTTGATTTGAAACCCTCACTGAATTGGACAATTTCTGTCTCTGGACAGGAAAATGGGCAAAAATGTTCAGGATTTTTGAGATATGCTCCATCCTTCCCTCTGCTCTCTGCCTCCGTCCTCCTCTCTGTTCTATCTGTTCTGCTCCAGTCTTCCTTGTTAGGAAAATCCCAATCTCCTTCCCATTGTTCTTCAACCTGTCTTTCCACATTCTCAGAACCACCCGAGCTGCTCTCAGCCCTACCTTACCCATCTTCCTCCTCCCCATACACACCAATCTGCTCCTGCCACCACTCTCACCCCTCCACCCCTCCTCCTGCCACCACAGCTCCTCCTCCCTCACTCCCCACAACTCCCTCTTATCCTGCAGCCATGGCTTCCCTGCCCACCTCTTCTACTGACACAACCTTTCCCCTCCTCCTCCATCCCTCTCCCCCTTCTCTCCTTCCTCCTCGCCTACAGCCATGATCAACTCCACCCACTCACCCCTCATTTCTCCTGTCAGTGCCCACACCCAGTCCCACCAGACCCTCTTACCAGATAACCCAAAGTTCCTTTGTCCTTTCAGGGAAGTGGCTGATGCTGAAGGGATTGGCCAAGTACATGTCCCATTCTCACTTCAAGATCTTCCCAGATTGAAAAGCGCCTTGGGTCCTTCTCTGCTGACACTTCTACTTATGTTAAGGAATGTTAATACCTCTCCCAGACTTATGATCTTATCTGACATGATGTCTATTTTGTTCTGTCCTTCATCCTTACCCAGGATGAGCAAGCCCACATCCAGCAGGCTCAATCAACCTATGATATTAGAAAAAAGCTCAAACAAGCTGAGGAGGGCCCTCAGACTCCTATCCAAGATCTGGTGAAAATGGCCTTTAAAGTTTATAATGCCCAGGAGGAGTCAGCTGAACTACCCAGGCAGGCCCAATTACAGAAAAATGTAACATTCCAAACCCAGGCCTTACCAGCGGCCCTGAGGCCTACAGCTCAAGCAAGAGCTTCATGGGGGATTCAGCATTCCTCTCTGCCAGGGACTTGCTTCAAATGTGGATGTGAAGGTCACTGGGCTAACCAGTGCCCAAGTCCACACCCTCCTTCCAGGCCATGCCCCATCTGTAAGCAGACAGAATATTGGAAATGTGACTGCCCCACGGCTGGCCCTTCCTTAGTGCCTCTACCTGGGGGTATGACCAGCTAGGTGGTCCCTTCTCTTGAACTGTTGGTGTTCACAGAAGACTGAGGAAGCCCAGACTCAAGGACCCCCATTTCACTCATGGAGCCCGGGATAATGGTTCAGGTAGTGGTTAAGTCTAAAACCTTTCTTGTGCACACAGAGGCTACAAATTCTGTCTTGCCTGCCCACTCTGGGCCTCTGTTTTCTTCCCAGGTCTCAGTTATGGAGATTGACAGCAAATCTTTCTACCCAAACTGAATTGCTCAGTTGACCTGTGCCCTGAAGTGACACCCATTCACAAACTCTTTTCTGGTCATTCCATCCTGTCCAGTTTCTCTCCTAGACAGAGATGTTCTCCAATTACAAGGAGACATGGTCGAAATAACACCACAAGAATACTACCTCCCATGTCCTTATGCTGCTAATCCTTACCCTCTCTAATAACCTGACAGTAGCTACTGTGCCATTGCCCCCTGATCTAGTCGATCCCCAGGTCTGGGACATCTCCTAGCTGGTCATAGCCTCCCACCAGTCCATACTTGGCTGAAACTGCAAACTAAACTTCCTTTATGTCCCCATTTTTCCATCTCCAAAACCCATAAGGAGGAACTTAGACCCATCATAGACTGGTTAATGCCCAGGGACCCCTTCCTACTTACTCCCCCTGCAACACTCCCATATTGCCAGGATGCAAACCCTCAGGAACCTATCGCTTAGTTCAGAATCTCCGCCTAACTAAAGAGACAGTTATTCCCATCCACCAGGTAGTTCCCAACCCTGACACTCTTCTTTCTCAGGTCCCCCCTTTGAACACTCACTTTAATGTCCTGGATCTTAAAGATGCCTTCTTTACAGTGGCCCTCCATTCTGACACTTATTAGCTCTTTGCCTTCATATGGGTAGACCCTACATCCTTTAGGTCTCAACAGATGACATGGAAAGAGAGTCCTACCTAAAGGCTTCAGGGACAGTCCCCATCTATTTGAGAAAGCCTTGGCATGGGAACTAACTGCTTGTAACTTGGGGGGCAGCACGCTCTTAAAGTATGTGGATGACCTTCTCCTATGCAGTTCATCACTCAAGGTTTCCCGAACTCACACTTCTCAGCTCCTCAATTTCTTGGGGTCCCTGGACTATCTGGTCCCTCCAGCCAAAGCCCAGCTTACTACCTCTTCAGTTATCTATTTAGGTACACTTCTCACTCCAACCTCTAAAAGCCTGACAACGGACAGAATTCAAGCTCCTCGTGACCTACAGCCACCCAAAACAGTGGACTACATCCTCTCCTTCCTGGGTCTGGCAGGCTTTTTCGGGCATTGGGTTCCCCACTTTGCACTTCTTGCCAACCCCTTATACAAGGCTGCTAAGGAGACCCCTCACAGGTCCCTCACCTCCTCTATCCTAGTAGCCAATTCCTTTCACAAGCTCAGGGATGCTCTTATATCTCCTCTCACTCTCTCTCTTCCTAACCCTAACCATCCTTTCTACCTCATTATGGGTGAAAGACAGGGTATCACCAATGGTCTCCTTACTCCACCAAATGGACACTCCTATAAGCCAATGGGATACCTCACCAAGCATCTTGACCCTATGGTTCATGGATGGCTACCGAGAAATGTTATAAAATTTTATATTCCTCTCTACTGAGAAGTCAACTTAAATATATTTCTAAAGGACAACAAAGAGAGCCTAACTTATTTAAACGTTAAAAGTATGGGATACAAAAATGTTTTAGCACTTTCTCTTAAAACGCAATTAAAACTTCTCTTACCTGTTTCATGTTTCATATATAATGATTAATTATGTTCACTAATTCATATTAATTCAAAAATCATATATATATATATATATATAATTTCTATAAAATAATAATAATATTCAGTCAAAAAATAAGATTATTGCAAAATCAAAACATCTTGCCCAAGGTTGACCAAGAGGCCACCTAACCTAAGTTAAAATTCTTCCATCTCATTCCAAGGTAAGATAATTATTCAAGTTTATTTAAAATTAAATTCAGAAGATAGGCTTTTGTTATAAAGATTACTCTATTCCTAAATTAAACAAAATACTATATGTAAATAAGTAAATGTTTCAAATTATATATAATTATATACCTTAATTTATAAGTATTATAAAATTAAATGTTTTACTCTTATTAGTTTTATATTGTATTATCCTTATAAGTTTTAAAACTATTCCCTGTTAAAGCCTTACACAAGTACAAATTGTAGTGTAACAACTGAAGTTAATTTGTAATAATAAGGTCATTACCTATAAGACAAACAACTTGTAAAACTGTATTTTCGGTATCTATACTGGCCCCATTTTATAATTTTGTTGCTTAGCCCATTAATAGACACAAAGGAAAATCATAAAATTCATAAAAACAACAAAAATCTAGGCCTCCTTTTGCTGTGGTGCCCTCTTTGGCTCAACAGCATGGACTTTAACCATCTTCCCATGCATCACAGGTCACTTTTGCTAATTTTCCTGGCCAAATAAAAATATTTATTGTCACTTCTTCCTGTT